CTCTTTACTTCACGAGCTGCACGTTCATTAATGGCGCATCCAAACCAGAGTTTTAAACCACAGTTATGAAAATTGCTCGAGCCGCAGCCTCCATAAATGATGAAAAGCTTTTATTTTCTAAAGAAGCGCCCTTACCTTTCACCTAATAGTGATGTCTCACTTCAAAGAGAGAGCTCGATTAGGCCAACATTGTCCTGTTTCTATATACTTTGAGTTCAAAGGGAGAGTTTCTATGCAACATTTTACGTGCAGCCTTCTCCAATACGGCTTTACTGTAGTTTACATGCTTTTCATACCCAGATGTGACCGATTTCTCTCGCTGTTTTATGGTTGCATAGTTCTCATGCAAAGAATTAACACAGAGGCTTGTTTTATAATCTTCTCCACCCACCAAACCTCAATTAGAAGGGATGAATGTGCACCTAAAATAGCTACAAACTTGACATTGTGATGCTCTTTGCTTGCTAATGATTGAAGAGAGTAACATACATGAGCACAAACCAGATGTCAGACGTTACGTTCAAGGCTCTGAGCAAAAGAAACGCTCCCTAAAGACAGCATTAATAAAGAAACTGGTTGAGCCTGGTTGAGACACAAAGAGCAAGCGGCAGAGAGGAAGAAAGAGATAAAAGAGCCCGTTGAGTACATACATCAAAGCCCTCCTAATGACGAGACATGCCATTAGGGTTACAGTGGCTTTTGTTTCAGCTTTCTCTCACCTGCAGTTTGTTGAGGCCACCCTGTGCACTTGTTTTGTTGTTCAGATTTACATGGATATAAAATGCGCGCACACAGGGAGAAGAGTTTGTTCCCAACTGCAGGACTCAAAGGTGACCAAACGCTTTTTTGTCCAAATGAYAGCCTCCTTTTCATTCGCAAAGCAGATCTGTAASCAGTTTCCTCCCACTGTAAAGGAGAAAAAGAGTTCACACAGAACAACAGAAACAACTTAGAAASCTTGTTATCCTGTATGCTGTGTAATTTATTGACTTAAAGCTGTCTTGGTGCCTCCGGTGTTGGAATAAGAGTTGACAAATCAGAGCGTGAAATTGGAATGAGCCTCTCTCGGTCTGAAGACGGAGTGGCGCACAGTCAGACTTGGCATGGCCGAAGGTGTAACCTGTTTCTGCTTTGCCCAGATGGTGGGACCAGCTGCCTTTGAATAAACTCTGGATTGCTAACGGTGTGAGAATTACCACGGCCTTGTTTTAGTTTGGGATGCATCACGGACAGCTTGTCRCTTTTTGGTCACTGCCAGGAGGGAACAGGGAGGTTCACCTGGTGCTAAACAAAACTTCCTTTTGATTGAGGTCAAATCAAAAACTGGTAATAAAGTAGACCTTTGACTGGTACCCAGAACGTTTCCTTTACCCTCAATGAAAACAAACAGGACATTGCCCTCGTTATGCAATAAAAACAGACCTCCAATTGTTAATTTCAAGTAGGGACAGTTGGTTTATTAATATATATGTATATTAGTCAAACAGAGATTAGAAACAGTATTTAAATTGTTTATATTTATCTTATTTGTGCAACAGTTAATCTACTTTCTTCTCCTGATTTATTTATAGAATAATGGCWCAAAGTTAAAGATTTCCATCCTTCTAAAATTGCATTCAAGTTTTTTGTTTTAC